ATGTATCCGTAGATTATATATGTTATATATTGGTATGTTATATATTTAATGTATAATATACATGTTATGTATTAGTAGAGTATATATGTTATGTATTCATAGATGACGTGTTGTGCATGAATGTGTTACATATGTTATGTATTCATATATTACATGTGTTATGTATGCGTATATATGTTATTTGTTTTGGAGTCTGATCCAGAACCCCCAGTACCCAGCTATTGGTTTTGTGATTTCTGCCCTCCACACCAACCTACTTTGTTGTCATCTTTCCTTCCCTACCAGGGTCTGGAAGACTGCTGTGGGTTTGTCCTCCAGGGCAGCGCTCAGAAGCCCCCTTCCCCTTCCTGCCATCTCCAGGCAGATGTTAATTCTGCTGTCGCCATTTTTGTCCCCTGGCGACATCCCTCATCCCCTCCGTCCCTCTCTGCAGCCCATCTCATTGCTCTTCTATTTCGGCCGCGGCTGCCTTTGTGGCCTCCCAGGAGCCAGGGCCACTTTTCAGCTGTGGACAGTAGAAGGACATTTCTGAGACGCCCTCTGATCCCGCAGTGGATGGCTGAGGTGTGCGCTTCCTTCGAGTCTCCTCAGTGCTGCTCCCTGTGCCTCCATCTGAAGTCTTTCTAACAGCCCACAGCGTTCGTTTTCATCGAACGATTTGCCTACCCTCAAATAAAGCAAGATCCGTTTGGACACAGAGAGGACTGACCAGCCCCCACGCTCAGTGCCCTTATGTGACGTTCAAAGCCCCCTGTCACATTGACAGCGTGCAGATTAACCCGCCCTTTCCAGCAGTCTCTTCTGGTACCCACTGCCCAGGCCTTTGACACATATCAGGCCTTTGCTACACATCAGGCCTTTGAACCAACGGAGCAAAAGGAAAGCTGCAATTCCTTAGAAGCCCTGACCCAGGCCTTTCTGCTTCTGTCCCCGCTCGCACGGCATGTCTACAGACCCTGGCCCCATTCAGGAGTAGACATTGGTGACTTCATGAGGGTTTGGTTTGCTTTGCTTTGTCCGTATGCGTCAGGACTCTGTCATTTGCAGACTTGGCTTGTCAACCAGAGCATCTTAGTTCCTCTGTTCCCACAGGGTTTCCCCTCATGACACCCTGCTGTCCCTGGACACCTGACCATTGGTCCCATCCCTGTCAGTGACACCCACTCTGAGAATGGACAAGGCCAGCGGTGAGCTGAACCCACCAGGCCCCATTATGATGGAGCAGTGCTGTGTAGACACCGATCTGCCGGGTCTGGAAGAGGAAACGGCCACTGCGAGGACAGCACAGTCTCGGTAGCAGGCAGCTCCTCTTCTCCCCCTCTTTCTCCTGTAATAGAAGCCCCACATTTCAGCTGTGCCCAGAACCTCCAGCTGAAGGCTGCATTTTCCAGCTTTCCTTGCAGCAGATGAGGCTGTGTGACTAGGTTCTGGCCAATGGAACGTGAATGGACGGCTCATGCAAATCCCAGCCGGCGCCCCTGCGCGGACAGAGGGAACACACGGCCCCTCGCCTGCTTTCCACGGGCTGGCCCAGGACCCTCAGGCCTGGAGGGCAATGGGAGAGGAGCCTGGGTGCCCCACGCTGGAGCCGCCGTGTCAGCCCGGACTGCTTACTTTCAGACTGTTTAAACAGAGAAAAATAAACCCCTCCCTCATGTACGCCACAGTGCTTGGGGGCTTCTTTGTTGTGGCAGCCTAACCCATACCCTGCCTGGTCCAGCTCTCAGCAAATGGTACTTCCCTCCTTCTGCGTGCCTTGGGGGCGAGGTATTGGCCAGGGAGTTGTTACAGCTAGATTTCCGTCCTGCAACCTTCCAGATTCCTCCCCTTACAAACAACTGTGGGCACATTGGCTTAGGTCTCCATCTGCTTCCTCAGCTTTCGGGCCAAGACTCACACTCCTCATCCAGCCACAGAAGTCCCAAAGGGTGACAAAGTTGGTGGCATGGGGGTCTCCCAGGGGCAGGGGACAAGGCAGCTGCCTCAACAGGACTGCTTGCAAGGGTCCCGCGTGGTGGCGCTGGCACTGGCTGCAGCAGAACGGAGGCCCTGTGTCCCCAGGCTCTCCACGTGGCTGGGAAACAGACTCACGCCCGGAAAAGGGTCCTTGCTGTTGTTCAAAGTCGCATGGGCTCTCTCACTTACCATTTACCACCAGGCGGCCCCCTGGGGACTCGCATGTCCTTTGCGCAGGGGGAAGAAACTGAAATCCAGAGAGGTTTAAGAAACGCGCCCAGAGGGGTGGAGCTGGATCCTCTTGAGGATCAAGAGGGAGTCGTCTTCACTGCACGCCCCTCCCCCCATGCCCCTGCTCACTTGACTGTGCTGCCCCCACAGCCTCCTGAGAGACCCCAGGTCTCTCAGCAGAGACATCCAGGAAGCAGAGCCCTGAGCTGTGCTGCCCATACAGGACAAGTGCAGGACAAGGTGCCAACACACTTTGCATCAGGCGAGGAGTCTGGAAGCTCTGACCTAGCGTGACAACTGAGACCACCCCCACACATGGCCAGCCTACCTCGGCCAGACAGGTCAGCGGGGTGCTGCGGCCTCAGAGGCAGTGGGCAGTTGGGGACACGCGCTGAGATGAGGGGAGCAATGTCCTGGGTTGGTGCCTGCACTGCAGGTACACGTGCTCACAGGTTTATTCCTCCTCTAGTGTGACCTCCTGACCTCCAGTGTCCCTTTTATCTGGGCTACATTGCTTGTTTATGGCTGAGGAAAGACTACGTCAACGTGCCTGGAAATCAATGCCTCACTTCCCCAGAGCATGTTTGGCCACAGAAGGTACATCCAGTCAGGGGCAAAGGGCAGAAGTCACAGGGCTGAGTCCCTTCCCCAAGACCAGGGCTGGTCAGGAAGGACTGTGCATTCTCCAATTACCCATGCTGTGTGCTAGGCACACAAGGAAGCTCCATGTCTGCCAGCTCCCACCAAACAGGACAGATGGCCGTAGAGGACAGTTCCCAAGTCAGCGAGAACAATGGCCTTCACCTGGGAGATGCACGTCTCTCTCTCCACACACGAGCACACACACACACTCGCACACACACCTCGCTTAGACATGTCTCCGCTGGAAATCCATGGGTGCGTCACCAGCTGCCTCCAGATCTCCAAGGGTGTCCCTGAGAAATGCTCGCCCCGACATGCCTCAGGCTCCTGGGGAAAGACCACCTCTGGAAGGTCCTCCCCTCTCACTGCACGGGGACAGGAGAACCAGGTCAGCCCCGTCGAGGTGGCTGCCAAGTCTGGCCTCCCTGCCTGAGTCTGGCCACCTTGTTGAGCCCCTGGTTAGCTCACAGCCCCTCCTTGCTTTCTGGTACCCACTGCCCCCAGCTCCCAGCCCATTCAGGACACGTGGATGGGTCCAGACCTCCCCTGTGCAAGTGCAGGGGGGAGAGCCCAAGCATCCGGGGCAGTTCGGGAGGACTTGTGTCCCCAGAGCTGAGAGCAGCTGGGGCGGATGGAGGCAGCGGCCATACACTGGCCTCTCCAAGTCTCACCTCCGCCATTCACAATCGCCTGTGCAGGTGGGGAATAACACGCCATTTCCTAGGGGGTGTCCACGAGGGGAGACGATCTGCTCTCCCAGCATGCAGTGCATGCAGTGGGTGCACAATAGATGCTTGATGGACTGCACAGAGGGCAGGAAGTGCCAAGCCAGGGCTTCAACAGTCAACCAGAGAAGTGATCCCTGCAGGGCGGGCCTGGCCGGGTGGGAAGCGGGGGCTTCCCATAGGTGACACTGGGATAGGGCTTGGATGTGGTTTGTGTAGAGAGGAGGGGGAGCCCTCTGGGAAACAGGAATGAGCAGAAACCCAGAAGCTGGCTGTGTGGGCACCCTGCACCCCTGGACCAGAGGCTGGACCCCAAGGGGGCCTTTGTATCCCTCTGGGTACAAACCAAGGCCCCATGAATGCTGCAAATGCAGACACAGAGACTCAGCCCCCAGAACCACCTGCATTTCCTGGCAGAGCAGAGGAAAACAGCACAATGAATGCCATCAAGTTATTGAGTTCTTTTTTCTTTTTATTGGCAAAGTAAATATATTTTTATGAAGGACCAAAGAAAATATATATAATTGTAACATATGTACACCAGCTTTATAGATTTTTAATTTCAAATTTACACAAATGTTGGTATGTTATTAAAAGATATTTCATGTTGATGTACCTATGTACAGTTTATTTACATACATTCATAGGATGTGAAATAAACCTGTCAAAACAAGCTAGTTCATTTGATATTAATTTCTAGACAAAATAAGGAATGCATTTCTAAATCAGGACTGGGAGGTTCTATCTAGTTCTTCTACACGCAACGCAGCCTGCTCTCCCCTCCCCCGAAGGTGACCTGGAGGCTGGTGTCTGGATTTGTTTGGAAGTAGGATGAGGGATGGGCCACGCTGTGTGCAGACGCTCTGGGCTAGCCTGCATCTGTCGCTCTGCCCAGCACATTTCAACTTGAGCACATGCACTGCCAGCCCCCCAAGAAAAGGGGCTTTTCACTCCAATTTTGCACCCACCGGGAGGCCAGGTCCCGCGGCCCCTGACCACCCAGCCACACCTTTGGGCAGTCAGGCCCACCCAGGCATCGTGGACAGGGCCACCCTCCCATCACGGTGCAGCCCTAGACTTCTGGCCTACTTCCTTCTTCCCAGCATGGCTCCCTCTGGGAACTGACATTTCAAAACCACACATTTCTTCTTTCCGAGCAATAAAGTGCTGGCCTTGGCCCAGGTGGGGAGCCCAGTGGGAGAAGAGCCAGGCCCCAGCAGCCGCTGCCGCGAAGGCAAGGCACGAAGGCAGCGAGGCAGTGCGCCGGCCTCCCCAGCCCCGGGGCGCCGGCGCTCCGGGTCTTCCCGGGACAGGCAGCGGGTGGGGGCTCTGCATCCACGCCTCCCAGGCAAGGCCCTGTCTTCCTGCTCCCCGGGCTTCAGAAGGTGGCTTGGTGACATCGTCACGTCCTCTGAAGGAGGCAAATAAATTATTGCTACAGAAGCACGGGGCGGGCGGGCGGGGCGCTCAGTTCCCGGCGCGCCCCGAGCGGCCCCGGGGGAAGCGGTGCACCTTGACGTGCTTGGAGAGGTGGTCGCTCCGCGCGAACTTCTTCTCGCACACGGGGCACTGGTAGGGCTTCACGCCCGAGTGCGAGCGCCGGTGCCGCGACAGCTCGTCCGAGCGGGAGAACCTGCGGGACACGGCGGTCAGCGAGGCCCCGCCGTTCTTCACACACCAAAGGACGTGTCCCCCGCGCCCGGGGCCCCGCCAACCCTAGGACGGCAAGAACCGCAAATGAAAGGCACGTGCCGCACGGCGGGGCTGAGAGAGCGGCTGGTGAATCTTCTCAGTGCTGTCAAGACCACCAGAGCACCCCGTGGACACGGGCCCCTGCCCTGACTGCAGCTGCGCCCCAGACCTTGGAGCTCCCGTGAAGGTCTGCACGGGGAGCCCATCCAGAGGGGAGCCGAGGCCGGAGAGCTGTCTCCCCAGCACGGCAGGCAGGTCCTGGCTCCCCGCTCTGGCCGCCATCACAGTGGAGGCGCGGGCCTCAGACTTGAGCCCACCGCACTCCTGGACTGTGCTTTCCTGAAAGCGGGGCCCCCTAAGATGTCCCCAAACAAAACTGCACCCCTGTGAGGTACTTCTAAGAGTTTCGATGGTTCCCTGACATCTTCCTTTCTTGGCCTTGGCCTGCCTGGGAGGAAGTGCTCCCCCGGCCCAGAGGCCACTGGGAAGGAGCAGCTGATAATGGGAGAGCTGAAGGACCTGAGCCGGGCCCCGGGCTCAGACTGCTGTCACTGACTTCAGAGATCTGAGGCACTCCCACCCCATGACCCTGGTCCTGGCAATGAGACCCCACTCCTCTCACATGCAGACTCCTCTGTGCTCTACTTACAGTGCCCTGTCCTTAGGCCCTCCCACCACAGGACATTTGCACATACTGTTCCTTCTATCTGGAATGCTCTTCCCTACCCTCTTCTCCTTGCTCCCTTCCTACCCAGAGCTCAGCTTAGAGCTCAGCTCAAATGTCACTTCCTCAGGAAAGCCCTCCACGACTGCATCCCATTCTAGGCTCCCACAGCACTACGCACCTCTCTTTCCTGGCCCCTGCCTCTGTTGTTGCAATTTTTAATTAGTTTTCAGCTTTTTGATGAACGTCAGTTTGTGCCACTAGACAATCAGCTCCATGAGAAAAGACCCATCTGTCTGGTTCCCTGTGATCCCCCCTCACGACCAGCCCAGTGCCTGGTGCACAGTAGGTGCCCAGTAAGTGCATTTACGTGCAAGAGTGGATACAGCAAGCACCCACAGGAGGATGAGGAGCTGCCACACGGGCAGTCCTCTCAAGTCCAAGTGCACGCACGCACACACGTGCACATGCCATGCACACACGTGTGTACATACACGCACACACACACCACACGTACCCGTCACAACTATGGTGCACTGCATAGACATGTGCATGCACTCACAGACACATATGTGCACATCAGTGAACATATGCACATGCACACGCATGGACCTGGGGCCACACAGCAAGAGGCAGGTTAGGGGGGCCCCCGGAACACGTACCCCACCCCAGCCGATGGGTAGGGGTGGTGGCCCCCCCTCTGGTCTGACCCTGTGGGTGGAGGTCTTGACCCACAGCCTGCCAAGAAGCAGAAGCAGCCCTGGGGAAGGCTCAGACGGCGCAGGAGGGCCTGAGCGCCAGACGAGGAGCCTGGCCTGGAGGCGGAGAGGACAGTGCCCAGCGCCCTGCCACCTGACAGCGGCCAGGTTTCTGCACTGGGGGCTGGCACTCTACCGCACACCCAGAGCAGTGCTCTCAGCACATCTTCAGAAGAAAAGAAGCCCACTGAGCCATCTGCCAGATGATGAAACTGAGGCTCAGAGGAAAGAGGGGCTGGCAGAGAGCCACCGGCAAGACAGAGCAGCTGGGGTCAGAGCACAGGGTCCTGCCTGCCCTGGTGCCCACAGCAGGCCTGGCTCCTCCACAGAGCCAGGCTGGGTGGTGTGTGCTGCTGGTGCTGGTGAGGAAGAGACATCAGTGCGCCCCGACAGCCAGGGCCTGGCCCCGTGTTCCCAGGCCTGGGCCACCTGCCCCCAGCAGGCACGGGGCACACAGCTGCTAAGCAGGTGAGCCTTCCCAGGCCAGAGGCAAGCAGAAAGCTACAGAAACAATGCCACCAGTGACACCCAAGTCTTCCCGGGCACCAAGCACCGGGGTCACCTGGCACCTTCCTGGCCAGGGAGCCAGAATCAGCCCCAACAGACTGACTAGACCACAGCAAGGGCTCAAAGAGGCCAAGGGGCTTGCCGGGGTCACACAGAGGCGAGACCGCAGGATCGGCTCAGGTCCCCAGCCCACCGGGAGCCCTGAGTGGTCCTGAGCAAACTCACAAATCACCCTGCATGACTTTCCTCACTCATCCAGTGAAGACCTAGGGACCCCTGCCAGCCTTCTGGAACTTGTCTCAGAGGCCAAAGGCGGTAACACAGGGCCATAGCAGCCCTCTCGTCACAGGGACACCCTGAGAAGGACAAGCAGCCCAGGGAGAGCCAGACCTGAGAACAAGCTGTCTCCACCGGCTCCTCCAATGCAGTGTCTGGTGACCCGAGAGGCCCAGCCCTGGGAAACGAGCTCTCAGAAGACCCCGACCTCACACCCTCACCCACTTTCTCCCAAAGAGCAGCCACCGAAGAGGCCCGGGGACCGCAGGGGCAGGTGGCCAGGGGGCTAAGATGCAGCCCTGCAGGCAGTGAGCTCTGCCACCTCCTAACTCAGCAACCTACACAAGCCACCAAGCTCTCTGAGCCTCCGTTTCCCCACGTGGAGACAGGGAGAATGAAAGAGCTACCTCAGAGGACTGGGAGGACTGTAAAAGGCAGCGAGCCTTTAGTGCAGTGCCTGGCACATGTCACCCGTTCAACAACTGGGAGCTCTTACTACCTGCAAGGAGCGCGGCATGGGCCTGAGCTGTGAGTCAGCACCACGATCCATGTGGCCAAGGTACAGGACAGGAAGCACAAGGTCCAGGGGACTCTCCTGGGACCTGTGGCATCTGCACTACCCCTGGCACACACAGCACCGTGGGGCAAAGGCACTCCTTCCATCAGCAAGAAAGCCACTATCATAAATAGTCAAGTCTTAAGGACTGCAATGGGCATGGCACGCCCTAGAGTTGCCCAGTACACAACCTGCCCAACAACACTTGCGGGCTCTGCTCACTGCGAGGATGGAGTCAGACAACGCCTCATCAAATAGGGGCAGCAGTGACGCAGGGGCCCAGAAAGCAGGCCAGCAGCCGGACCACTGGGTTTGAATCCTGCCCCCGCCTCCTCCTGGCTCTGTGGCCTCAGACCTGTGACTCCCTTTTCTGGGCCTCCTGTGTCCACTGTGGATGATAACAGTACCTGCCACACAGGCTGCTGCAAGTTATTAATATTCATAGTAGCTGTGGCAGGAGGGGGTTCCTTCTGGACGGAACGGCTTGGCCATTCCGGAACAGGACGTTCTGCTGCAGGGAACAAAGAAGGCCTGTGTCCGAGAGCGAAGCAAGGAAACTTCTAGGAAGGCAGGCAAACAGTCACTTCCCAGACGGTTAGATCGGGCAGAGAAAGTCTGGTCTCAGCCCGTCAAGGTGCCGAGCCATGTCACAACAGGGGAAGGGACAGGGAATACTGGGTTCAGGACCAAAAGCAGAAGGAAGTGGGGTTGGTTACCTGGGCAAGTGTCAACCTTGGGGGACACCGTTCATTACACAAAGGTGCACAGGGTCGGACAAGGGACATGGCACCAGGGCCACAACTGACCCGGTAGGAGGAAAAGCAAACTAGACACCAGGGCCTCCAGGAAGAAGAGAGGTGCCCTTGGGACTGGTGAACCTCCCATACGGGGAGGCAGGCGAGCGTGCAGGGTGCCACCCCAAAGACCAGGCCCAGCCACAGGTGGAAACAGAGGTCCTCCCACCACTCAAGCAGACCACCCCCACTGGAAGTGTGCAGAGGGGGCCGCAGAGAGGTCCCGAGTGTGACGGTGGGGGGGGGGGGCAGGCAGCCTGGGCTGAACTCCTGGCTCTGCCACTTACCAGCTGTGTGACCATCAAGAACTTACTTAGCTGCTCTGTGCCTCAATTTCCTCCTCTGTAAAATGGGGACAACATCCTGGTGCCGACCTCATGGACTTATGAGGATGGTAACTGGGTCACTCTGCCTGGAGTGCCCACAGCGCACCCAGCCGTGTTAGGAGCGGCTGGTACCGGTGTTGCTGTTGTTAACTCTTCTCCCCAGCCCATACGTGTAATGCCTGACACAGCTGATGGACTCGTGGGGCGAGAAGACACCAGGCGCACAGGGACAGGGAGGAGGGAGAGGCCAGCCAGGTGGCTGCAGGCGTCTCCGGGCAGGAGACCATTGGTGGGTCAGAGCGGGGCTGAGGCACCCGCTCAGGGTGCACGCAGGGCCACACTCACTAGCTCTGGCCCTGTGGGCATGTGACTTGAACTATCTAGGCCTCAGTTTCCCTCTGTAAAATGCAGATTGGTGCCCACACTTTATGGAGTGTCGTTCATGCACGTGATGTGTGCAGAACAGAGCCGAGAGCATCGCAAGACCCACCACAGCCGCCATCGTGGGGAAGGGCTGCAGGCAGAGGGCACAGAGGGCAGGCCGGCAAGCAGATCGTGCAGGTCTGTGGGCCAGAATGAGAAACTTGGACAGGAATTTAAGTGGACCAGAGTACACCTAACAGCTACAGTAGCCTTACGAAGCAATGAATTCCCCATGGCAGAATGCATGCAAGCAAGTGCGGGCTGTGCTAAGGGGATCCACCTCTGAGAACCTTAGAATAGTGCCTAGTATGCAGCACGTGGTCAGTAATTATGACATGTCATAGTCATCATCACTACCTCCCCTGTCCTGTCCAGGCGGAGCTGCCCCAAAGCCCAGCCTGTGCCCCCACCTGAGGTGCCAGAGCTCCCACCAGCCTCTAACCCTCGGTTGAAGGCTATGGCCACGTTTAAGGGACACACGTATCATGTGTACATCTTCATGGGCACAGGACCCCTCTAGGCCAACCAGGGACTCCCACATCCTCAGAGAAACAGCCCTCCCGAGAGGCAGGCGTCCTCGGCTCCCAGTCAGATGGTGCCTCTGCCACGTATGAGCCCACAAAGGCCAGACCCTACTTGAGGGGACCTTGGGAGAAACGGGGGAGGCCCTTTGGAAGCCCTAGGAGTGGCTGAGGGCAGCGATGGCTCCCGGGCTGGCTCCATAGTGACCTCACCCTGCCTTCCCCTGCCAAGTGCGTCCTGGGCAAGAAGACCAGTGACAGAGCTCAGTGGCAGAGCTGAATCCTCTCCACAAACCCCACTCTTGCTTGTACACCTCCTGCCATGGGGAACTCACTACCTCCTGAGGCCACTGTGTCAGGGACTGAGATCTGCCTCCCTAAGATACACTGTGGGCTGAGGGTCCCATCTGTTCTCTGGGACAGCTGGGAAGAAAGCAGGTCCCCTCCTCAGGGGGGAGTGGGTCAAGTGGGCAGCCTTGACCAAGGACCACACCCTTCCTCCCTGTGGCCCCACCCAGCCTCACCTTGATTGGAGGGGCCACTCGCCAACTGTCAGCAGTGGCCAGGGGACTGCGCCAGGGGAGGTGAGCCCATCACAAGAGCCAGACCTATGCTCTGCCCAGCAGGCTCCCCAGTCTCTCCGCAGCCCTGCCCCCACCAAGGAGAATCCATCCAAGAGGAGTCCCTGCGAGTCTGGGGGCACCTCTGAGATGGGGCACTGCCTGCAACGAGGCAGGGCAAAACACCTTGCCGGTCCCTTCTCAGACTCTGACCTTGTCTGAGGGTGACAGTACACCGACGAGGAGGGGCCGCTGCTGACCACGCCTGCAAGCCTGGCCCTGGTGGGGAGAGGCAGGGAGCAGACCCTCCACTTAGATGAGGAAACTGAGGCTCGGCCAGGGGGAACCACCCCAGGGCACACAGCAAGTTGGAGGCAGACAAGGGCTGGGGCTCCTGACCCCTGCCGCCAGCTGCCCCCCACCCAAGGTGTCACCATGCTCCTCCCTTCTGCCTCGTTGGCCCCCCAAGCTCTGACCACCCACCACTGCATCAGGCCCCATAAGCTGCCCTGCAAGTGTGCCTGTCGCCCAGGGGCCCACACAGCAAACTGTGACAGGAGCCTCAGAGAGGTGGCCGGCCCTGGCACTGACACTCAGCACTGTGTGGCTGGAGCACCGACTCTCACAAGGCCCTGTAGATCTAAAGGACGCCCTCAGGGTAGTGAGGTGATGGGAGAAGTGGCGCCCTCACTCAAGAAAGGCCTCCATAACCCAGACGCTGTTTGGGAAATGTCCCTTCTCTGGCCAGCTCAGCGCCCCACAGAAAGGGGCCACCAGTGTCACATCTAACATTCAGTCACAGCTTCCATCCACGCCCCAGCGTCAGCCAGCCAGGACACCGGCAGCTAGCACCGCCCCCCGGGCCAAGTCTCACAGTTCTCAGATGAGAGTCTGGTCAGGAAAACAAAAGCTGCAAACTGCTCCCCACGTGCCACACCCACAGGCACATCCACACACACACAAGGAGCACAAACACACGCAACGTGCATGTGTACAAACACGCATGGTCACGCAGCACACAGCACACAGAGACACTTGAAGAAAGCAGGATGCATACACTTGTGTACACACAGCTACAGGCGCAAGGTCCGCTTCTGCACATGGACAGGCGTGCCACGTTGCTCTCTCACACACGCTCACACACACAGAGGGGGAATGTGCCAGGAGCACACGGCACCCTCCCAGGCAGGCCAGACACTCCTACAGAGTGGTCGGCCTAGACTGGGAAGAGCTGGCCACGGCAGCCCGGGGGGACTGGGCTCCTGGCCTGCTGCCTGAGCTTCCGGAAAAGGTAGACACACCCTCCTGAAGACAGTGAGCAGCACCTGGGGTCGGCGGGGATCCACGGGGTCCCCATCCAGCTCTGCTGCCCAGGGCTGGGTAACCTGGCCAAGACCCTTTGAGAGCTAGTTTCCCCCACTGTGCCACACAGAGTGGAGAGCTGGGAAGCAGTCCCCCACCTGTGCATCAGCACCCCAGCCTGTGGCTTTGCAAACACACCTCCAGGTCCCCACTGGGAGCCCAGCCCATGTGTCCAAGGACGTCTATAAAAAAGTTAGTCTCTCCGGCTGGGTAAGCAGCCTTTTGCAGGATATGACCTCTCTGATCCGACCCCTGGGTTCAAATGCCATTTACTAAGTGGTGTGACCTTGGGCAAGTGACTCAACCGGTCTGAGCCTGTTTGCTCAGCTGTAAGATGGGAGTCGGTACTTACCGTGGGGCTGCTGTGAGGCGTGGAGGGAGGGGGCACGCCGCCCGCGCTCCATCCCTCAGCTGTCCTCGTTCCTGCTCTGAGAGCCCTTCTGCAGCCCTCTCTCAGCACGGCGCAGCAAACCTTACCCGGTCATTAGGAAACTGGAGACCAGTTGGTTTCTGGCTTTAGTGATCAGGAGGGACAAGGAAACCTCTGGGCAGCCGTGCCAGCTCTGGCCCTGCCCCCTGCTGGCCCCCTCTCCCCTTCCTAATCAGCCTCGTCTAATGGCAGAGAACGTGGCCTGGGCCGCACACCCAGGGCAGCAGAGACCAGCGGCCTCCTGCGCCGCCCGGCCCGCCACCCGTCATACTGACCTCCAGCCGCAGCCCGGCCAGGTGCAGGCGAAGGGCTTCTCGCCCGTGTGCCGGCGCAGGTGGGCCTTGAGGTGGCTGCTTTTGGTGTACATCTTGCTGCAGCCGGGGAAAGTACATTTGTGCATTTTGATGAGTTCTGCTGCTGGGTTCTTAGGGAACTTCTGGCCCATGAGGAGGCCAGCGGGGCCAGGCCCCAGGGCTCCCGACCCAATAGGCTTGGCGGCGATGGGCACGGGGGCGATGCGCACGAACTTGGAGGGCAGGTTCAAGTTGGAGGAGGGCACTACCTGGGGCACGAGCGCGAAGGTCTGCCCCTGGATGTTGACCAGGAACTGGGCCACCTTGACACTCTCCGGGGCCTGCCCAGGGGAGGCGGGCTCCGTGCCCGATTCCTGCTTCACCTGCACAGGCTGGATCTGCAGCAGCACAGGGATGGGGCCGTCAGGTGCCGGCCCCCCACCTGGGCCCTGGCTGCCACCCGCCCCAGCACCACCTGGTGGGGCAGCACAGCGCTCTCTCCCAGGCCCAGGATGGAGGTGGCTCCTGTGCGGCCCGGCCGAGAGCTGGCCACAGGCCTCCAAGTCCTTGCTGTTGCTCTCTGGGGCCTCCTTGACCCGCGGCTCCATGTTCTCCTCCAGAAACTCTTCAATCTCCTCCAGGGTGGGCTGAAAGGGCCTCGGAACATCATCGGGGTCGCCCACAGGAAACTCAGAGAAGCAGAAATGCTCCCCCTTCACAGGCGCCGGAGCCCTCCAGCAGGCCCCCCAGGCCGCGGGGCCGCTGCTGGCCCCAATGCCGCCACCACCACCCAGCGTGGCCTGGGACAGCAGAAAGTCCAAGACGCTGTCCTGGCCTTCGGGGCTCGGGCCACCGCTGTAGCAGGAGCAGAGGACTTGCGAGTCAGGGCTGGCGCAGGAGCAGAGGCTGGAGGCGTCGCTGTCGTCCTCTGAGAGGGGTGAGGGCAGCATGTGGTACGCTCGGCCACCGGCCAGCCTACTGCCCAGATAACCAGCCGGGCATTTCAGTGCCGAGAATGTCTCGTCCACTGGAAGCAAGTGGTCCACCATGCTGGCCTGGCCGTGCCGGTGGTGGCTGAGGAGAAGAAAGAGGGAGCCTGGTCAGCAGGACAGCGTGCTCACCTGCCACCCCGTGGGCCTGTGGCGCCCTCTCCGCTGCCGGCCCACAGCCTCCCATGGCCAAATGCCTGGATCTTGCCTCCATCCCACCCCAAGGGAGCACTCTGTCTGCAACAGTGTTTTCCGAAATTGCACCACCTGTTTGCAAAAGAGCCCTCTCCAAGCCCATTGCACAACCCAGGGCACTTTCATTTCAAACAGATTTTCCAGAATGATTCTGGGAAAGAACATGCATGGTTCTGTGAACGACTGAGTGTGAGTGAGAAAGTGTGTATGTGAGGAGGCTCTCTGTACCCCGGAATGGCCAAACTCGGGGGACGCCCTGCAGTTGATCAAAGTCGCTGCATCTCCAAGGGCTCCTGACCTCTACTTCATTCCTGTTGAGTCACTGGAGGGGGTAGGAGACCAGCCATTCACCCTCTGACCTCCACGTTGTTACGGCTTGGGTAGGGTTGCCAGATTGGCAATAAAAATACAGGCCGCCCAGTTAAATATGAATTTCAGATTTTAAAAAACAAACAAATTTTAACAAAAGTATGTCCCAAATATTGGACGTGCTCATACTAAAAAACTGTTCTATCTGACATTCAAATTTAACCGGGAAGCCTGTATTTCAATTTGGCAAGCTAAGTTTGTGGCAAAAAATTAAAAACCCATAGGTGCCTGCCCTCCTGCGGGATGGGGGGCAGAAAGGGGGGGCAGCTCATTCACACTCCAGCCTCTTAGCCTCAGCCGCCTCTTCTGTGAAATGAGAGAGGCAGGGACGGCCACCTGGGCGGACAGGCCCCACCCCACAGTGATAACTCATGCAGAAGTGGGGCCAGCCTAGGCACATGCATGGCTGTCACCTCATCTGATGTCACAACCACCTAGTGGGACTGGAGATAAGACTCCTTGGCCTGCACCCCTGGAGCACTCACCACCTGGGAAGGCCCAGCTCACTCCCATCTCCCCACTAGACCAGGTGCTCCATGAAGGCAGGCTGGGCTGTTGGGGCTCCGCTGTGTCCCCAGCTCCCAAAGTGGCAGCTGGTGCCCAGGAGGGGCTCAGAGAATGTCAACAGAGACAAGAGAAAGAGCTGTGTCCTCTGAAGGCCATGCTAGGTCCGGTGTCCAAGGAGAGTCAACAGTGTCCAGCTGTGACGGGGCCATCCCTGTGGACCTTTGTCCCCACCCAGCAACTACAGCAGGGTGCTGAGGTCAGGAAAGGAGAATGTTCTGCATTTGAAGCCAGAGACTCCTGCTGCCTGGCATTACCCCTGCACCCATCCCCATGCTCTGTCTCGAGGACTACTCTTGGGCCTGGGACCCAGCACTGCCCAATGGTCAACAGGCCCAGCCACAGGCAGAGACCTCCCAGGGCCAGGGTCATCATCAGCTGTAACCCTGGGCTGTAACCTTTGCTCTCCCCAAATTTCAGTTTCCCCATCTGTTCCACGCCTCAGTGATCTCTAAGCCTCTGTCCTGCTGAGGCCCCCCCAGGACCTCTGACTTCAGTTCCCCACTCACCCGGGGAGCTCAGAGCTCCAGGACACTAAGGCAAGGTGCATGCCCTCAGCTAGTCTGCATCTGGGGCAGTTCTGCCAGGATATTTGGCTTTTTGGTTTTAAACACTAAGCTAAGGATTTAATATTGGGAGTTTTTAAATATGAACTACTCACTAAATCAGGTGCTGAGAAGGTAGCAAAGTGCCAGATAATTGTGAAGGGCAATGAGGCCAGGCAGAACTCACACTCAGCCCTAGACCTCCCCCACCTGTCACCCACCCTCTGAGTAAGGGATTCTGCTCCTGCCTCTGCAACTTATCAGCTGGGCGACCTCAGGCAAGTAGCACAACCTCTCTGTGTCTGTGTCTTGGTCTGCTGGCTGGGGATGCTGCCAACAGCACCCAGTTCCCAGGTTGTTATAAGAGTCCAACGAGCACTACGACGGGGCTGACACACACGCAGGCACTGGTCAGTACACACCGTTAGGATGGGCCTCCAAAGGTGTGAACATGTGGTCTCTCTGCCCCCCTGCCGCGATGTTCAGGAATCAGGGGGACTCCAGCCTCTCTGAACTGGGGAACAGGCCATGACTGGTAGTAAGGGGCAGAAGGGGCCATGTCCTGTCCACTTAAAAGTCTCCCCTGAAATGTGATCACCAACTGAATATTCCATGATATTAATGAATTACTGTTAATATTTTTAAGTGTGATGATGGCACTGCGGTTGGTACATTCTTTTTAAAGGAGGCCGTACCTTTTAGAGAGATTAACTGAGATATTCCCAGATGAAATGATATAAAACAAGTGGGGGAAATAAGTTGGCACAGCAGGGGGCGCTGGGAGGAAACCGCCAATAGCTTCCCAAGGAAACGTGACCCAGGCTCCCCCAGGAGCCCGGCACCTGGACCCTGCCCATCTCTCCAGACCTCACCTCCACCTGCTCCATTCCACACCCGCTGTCCACCAAGCTCACCAGCTTCCTGGGCCTCAGGCCACCGCCCTGGCCTTCCCTCTCTGTGGGTCCCTCTTCCCCAGCACTCCATGCAGAACGCCTTCAGATCTCAGCTCAGAAGGCACGCCTTGTGGGGGCCTCCCCTGACCACCCTCTGTTACATCACCCCACGTTAATTCTTCCTAGCAGTTGCCCCTGTGGGGAAACTATCTTGGTTACGTGTTTGTGTACCTTATTTTCCGTCTACCTCCCCGCCAGAATATAAGCTGTTCTGACTGTTCAGTCCAGCGCTGTACCTCAGAGGCTAAAGCAGGACCTGGCACAATTTCCTAACGGGGTTGCGG